CCTCTCGTCAATATGCGTTTTTCGCATTGCATTGCTGCAAAAAACGCATAAAAACGACCGCTAAACTGAAATTGTTTATTTTGTTTTATGCAAAATTTACGATGATTTACGGTATTGAGAGCACAAGGTAGGTGTAAAGAAACAACCGCTTATGAAGTAAACCTAATTACTCCAAGTTTGGTGCAAAAACGCATGATCGCACTGGCTCGTCTAGTCCGTTTCAGTATGGGTTTGGAATCACACCAAAAGGCCATCTAAGCGTCACACATAAGTATGCGTTTTGATGTTAATTTCATATGAAGAAGCGAGGCATATTCTTTCTCTCAAGAAATGTATAAATAATCTAAATGCTTTACAGCGATAGTTTGTGAGTTAGAATTGTCTGTTTGAATCACTACATCCTATTTCCGTAGATTTCAGTTGCTCTCAGTTTTGATTTAGACAAACCTCAGAAGAGGAAACCATTAGCAGCTCTGCAACACGATTTCAGATGAAACCCAATTTTCCTTGTATTAAAAAAAGTGCGTTATGATTTTCGAATTTTGAGAACATAATGCATATCCACAGCATATTCCATGTTCCCTTATTGCAGGTGGAAGCTTTAGTGACAAAGGGAAATGAGCATCTGGTGCATCATATGGAGCTGCTCGGATGCCAGAATCCAGGATATGATGTTGATTTGTTGTACGAGGGTGACTGCAATGATCCGCGTAAACCAGTGGAGGCGCATGGATGCTCTACAGTCATTGCTGCATGGGCTATGGGTGCTGGTGTAAGTTTCTTTACTATTTCGATCTAAGGTGTATGCAGCCCTAGCATCAGGAAGATTGTTATAGCTGCACTTGGCATATGGGGAGCATCCAAGTGATTGCCTATGGTTTTGATATTGGGAAGTCTGTCTAAGGTACTTTGTCGGAAAAAGTGTTAGGGAAAAAACAAAAAATTGCTAAAAAAGTTTTTTGAGAGAAGCAGCACAAATTCCCACACAGACATTTCTTTGGTAGGATAACTTATTAAAACGAATTTCTTTTGCAGCCTGTGATTTACCCACGCGAAGCTGGGATGCCGTTCGGTGGCCGAGAATTTTATCCTTTCGTGATGCTTGAGGTCCATTACAACAATGTGGAACGGGTCGCTGGCATGTTAGATCGGTCTGGATTCACAATCAGCTATACCGGTCAATTACGTCAATATGATGCTGCTGTGATGGAACTGGGCTTAATTTATGGTGATGCAAATTCAATTCCACCACACCAGAAGGCTTTTCCGTTGACTGGACATTGTGTTGCCGATTGCACTAAAAAGGTTTGGAAGATTGATTGACCAGTAATCCATACTTTTGACAAAATTCAGTTTCCATACTTTGTGGCGAAATTTTGTTTTCGGCACAGTAAGGAACGATTAAGAAGTTGGAAAAGAGATTTCCATCTTTCACGGGAATAAAAATCTGCGGTAAATCTAGAGGTACCCGACGCGCTACTTATAATACACATTGGAGAAAAGAAGTGCAAAAAAGATTCTAGTATTAGTGTGCCCAGCATCGCAGGCGAAGCCCATTTTTGAAAATAGCATAAAGTAGAAGGGAATCGGATCCCTCACTTCAGTTATTTTGAATCATACGGATTGTAATG